CGACTAACTTTTACAACTGGCTACAGCCTCCTTATGCCACGAAAACATCAGCCCCATTGCTGCCTCTCATGTTGTCTTTCCACCCTCACCCATGCCCTAAGCTCATTCGAAATGCTAACTCCAGTTCTCTATTGTTCAGCCAACCGTGTGGGCAATATGTTCGGGCTTCAGGTTTTCTTAAGCGGACACAATCGTATTGTCATGTTCGCAAAATTGTCATTTCTCTCCAGTCGGGCCTTACTTTGCTCCTGTTGGTCCCAGTCACAACAACACACACTGCACACAAACAGGAGTGTCCACTGGCGTATCTACACGTACATGTACACAAGCCTGCCGACACTCGCTCTCAGTCGAAAAGTATAAAGTGTCCTGAAAATATGGCTAGACCTAAGACCCCTCATCTCGCCTCCACCTCAGACCCATCTCAGACCGGCGCATCTGTCAGTCCGGTTATAGCATAGCCGGCTGCGGCTGCAGCATGTCATAGGTAGGGAATCATCACTAGGTTGCAGAAAGTTTCAAGAAGGCACAACAAGCTGGTAGCATCCTTGGTACGAGCTGAAGGCGCACGCATGGAGAAGCCGCAGAGATCTTATCGACATGAATGGCGATAAAGATTACCACAGTGGTAGTAACGGTGTCTGTATCTCTGAGACGTATATTAATGGTTATAGATCAGGCTAAAAACAAAGATGCAAAATTCCACAGGACCAAGTTAATGACCACGATATGCAACAGTCAGCTAAGCACTCCCGTATGCATTTACTGAGAAATTTACTCAGATTTCATTCGCCGTACTTAGGCAATTTCCTCCTAATGTTTATTTCGAATTATTTTTTTTTCAAAATGGGCTTTTTTACATACCATTAAGTTGTTTGAATGAAAGAGACTTCTTCTGTGATGGCTCTACACCAATCAGGTCCTAAATGGACGTTATCTCTTTGGTAAGAGAAAGAGTGTGCGCAACACCAGAACAAGGTAAATGCAAACGGTTACGTCATAACTGGTCGCATACGCGAAATTGAACTAAGATTTCTTTTTGGAGTTAGGTTTTAAAAAAGACTACTTTGTATAGACCTGTAATCATTCCTTTCCGAAATCGAGAGCTTAAGCTAAGTACCTTTTCAAAGCTCATTTTTACTTTTCACCTCCTTCCCTTTCTTTCGTATATTATGACATGGAAAAGTGCATTTAAACCTCATTTCCTGTTTATATTCTAGTACGTCTAACTACCAAGCATGAAACTTAACACTCATGGAATCGGTTTTCATTATTATTACCAAGGCTGATGGTGTCATTGATCTTACAAACATCACGGAAACTTATCAAGGGAAAGGTACTGCTGTTATGACGACTAAGAATTGGCTAATCCAAGTTATAAACGCCTTCCATTGTTTGGGGATATAGTCATGTTTGTCGGGTTTATTAGTGCTAATATTTGAGTCTCTATTTACAGAGCCAACTAATTAATTAGGACCCACACTTGGATGAAAATGGCATCCTAACAATGAACGAAAGAGTTCAAAAGACAGGTAGGCAAGATTAAAAATCGCTTATAATGCAATTATGCTGTAAAAATTTCAACCAAAGATATTCACCTTACAATACGCCTTGCCCCTGAGCGAGAGGAAAGGCTGAAATTAATGGAAAAATTATTCTCTTTAATGCATTTTTAATAGTTTATCTTACATTTTACCTAGCCTAAAAAGACCAATAGATTCCATTCAGACCATAAACTGAATATTATCATTCGGCTTAAAATCTGGCGTTTTAAACAAGACCAGACTAGAAGCTACCATAGAGCTCCATCTTTGGTTAACAATTATCTAGTGACAAAATGATGGTATTGGCAAAAGCTAATTACTTTACAAATATTAATAATTAATTTAGATGACAAGTAGACCATCAAGTAACTGCAACCAGATACTTGCTACGAAAGGAATGTAAAACCTCATTTATATATGCATATATATGACCTTTGTGTCTCGGCGCATCGCATACTCGTTGCTCTGTCTAGCTATGCTAGTCTATAAATAGGTTGCACTCTGCTTAAGGCAAATACAGCATTTCACTTAACCGATCCCTCCTATAACACATAAATGAAATGAGTAAGCGATACTGAGATTGCTATTATAGCCATGCTTGCAATTGTGACTTTCGAGGTGCTCTCCTTTTTAGTTGTAGGTGGTTTTCATTTTGTGCTGATATACCAATCGATTCATGAATAACTACCTTAAGCGTTAGGAAATTTTGGTTATGTTAATGGCGTTAATGCCAGCAGGAGTCGCTTTGGCTTACCTAATACAGAGCCCTCTTACATTTATCAGTGTCAAAACAATTTAATACATTCTTTGCGAATGTGCTGTTGACTGTAATATTTTTAAATGCCAAATTTATTTTTAAATCAACAAATAATTCAGGAGTATTGTTTACTTTAAAAAAATATTGAATTTTTCCGTTCAATTATACACCGCGAGGCAAGTATCAAACCAGTACGCCCTTGGTTAGATTCTTGTTGGAGTGCTGATAAGACCTAGGTGATTTCAAAATGGCCGTTCATTCTGGATTAGAATATTCATTTAGGAAACAAGATTCCTTGTTCTGAAATGGCTGAATAAAGCCTGATCTTCAATTCATCCTGAGTAGCAATATAATTATCTGGCAGAATGATAGAGAAATGATGGCTTATATTCGCCTCATGATCCTTGATAAGTTCCACACAAATACGAATTAGGATTCTCAAATAATTAGATGATTTGATTAAAATCAGTGGGAAAATAGTTCTTATGAGGCATGCAGGTTGAAATTACGCATATAGTCTTGTGTTCAAGTATAGTCAATTCTTAATCCTTAACGTGGCACAATTAAGTAAATTCAAGGTATATTAGCATAGTATTCCAACAGGATTCTTTTCCGTTCTATTCTTCTGTTGAGAATAATTCTACATTTTTTTCGATAATTATGGGGACTTTTTTCTTA